TGTGTTTTTGATCAACTGCAATAAACTCCAAAGCCACAACCACAACCCAACAAACATACACATTTGTAACCAAACTTTTGAAAATGAGTGAAGGAAGTCACGTTTTCAACTATCAAGACAACTAAAGGATATTTAGAAAATGGGTAAACAGCAAGTGGAGAGAAACAGTGAAAGTAATTTCAAATGATCTGAAAGAAAAATAATGAATAGGAAAAGGGTAGATGATAGATAAAAGAAGTCACCTATTTTGAATATCCTCCTTCCCTCTCAATCTTTTCATTACAGTAGATATGCCTGCGTTAACACTAGTCATTACAGCAAAATTTCGAGCTTGTATCAGAGGACCCCCTGCTAGAGCCTGTTAATATATATCAATAAAGACCTCATTCAATGCTTATACAAATACTATACAAAAGAGGCTTCACGTATCTCAAGCTAATGCACTGATAAGAACAGAATCAATTCCAAGAAACACAAGAAAAAAGACCCAATTGAAAGTAATTCCTAAAGATGACACTTTTTTCTACTACCATTCCTGAAATTAAAAGATGTAACTTAATTAGTATACGAGATAAAGTTTATGACTTTTTCATCAGCTGTTTATTTTGGAAGAACCTAACAGGCCATAGCAACAAGAGAAGGTATCATCACTGCAGGTAAACATCAGAAAATTTGGAGATTATATACAGGAAAAATGTAACATGGAACTGAACATCCTCAAATTCATAGAGAGATAAAATAGGGATTGTTCATAAGGAACAGAAATTGGGACCTGGGCTTGCTGGAAAGAAGCCATGGCTTGGGGGTTAAGGTTAGCCTGGGAAGCAGTTGGCATAGAAGTGGAGACGTCTTTGGTGAGGATGCCCATGAAGTAACCCATGGCGGCACCCTGGGCACCGTTGATGGCGGAATTAACTGTCGTCTCCACCAGCAAAGTCTACTTGGCCAGCCATGCCTGGAACCCTTTCTCCAACTCCTTGTACTTGACCTGCAACTGCTCTATCAGATTCTGCTGCGACGGCGAGAATTTCGCCACAATCACTCCGTGCTCTTTTCTCCCCTGCATTATTTTCAATTTTTCTTTCTGCATGTGCCGCTTTGCTATCGTTACTTAATAAAACCCCAGTGTTATTTTCCCTTTTCTTCTTATTTTCCCTTTTCTTCTTATTTTCCCACTTGTCTTATTTTTTCAGATGTTTTTTTGTTGGCATCCCGCATTCCAGCAACAAAAAAAAATTGAAAGCAATTGGGCAAAGTGGTCCCTATTTCTTGCACAAGTGGCATCGCAATTGGCAGCATATGTGGAAAAAAAAAAAAGAGATGGGTTTAACTGCTGACCGTTTGGGACTTAACGGTCAGCAGTGACGGCAACATGGACAGTGTTAGGAGAGGGACGACAACGAACAAAAAAAGCCAAGTAGAGGGACGACGTTTTGGCTCTTTGAAGAGTAGAGGGACGACAACGAACATGACCTTAGTAGAGGGATAAGAACGAATAAAATATTAAAGTAGAGGGACGACAGTTGGCTTTAAACCAAATGAATAATCTCCTTTTCTTAAATGTCTTCTCAACTGTCTATTAGGTTGGATCGA